TTTTATATTCGTTAATAATATATTGTATTAAATACACTGCATTTTCTACTGGATTATCTCCGACTAAAGTGATGTTACAAATTTCATACGTGTAATTTTTAGATAAGTATAAACTCTTGGGGAAATAGGTGAAGATGATAAAGTTAACCTATTATTGATCATTACCACCAATTTCAAAAGCAAATATAATTCAAGGGAACGTCCTTACTAAAGAAAGAATAGATATTATAGATAAAATAATCAATGTCAAAAGGTGATTTCTTAAAAATTTTTTTTTAATTTCTTTTTTCTTTGTAATTAAAAGATTAATCTTTTTTAAATTTCTAGTCATTGACACCATTAGCACCATCACAAATTCCAATAATTCGATGTATTGGGCTAATTTATAAAGAACATGCAAAAGAAACATCGCAACCTATACCAAAATTTCCAATATTATTTATAGACCATCAACTAGTTTACAGAATCCTTTTGATAAGATTAAAGTACCTACTAATAATAAAGTTAATTTTTAAGCCGAATTAGCTGTAATAATCGGCAAAACCTGTAAAAATGTTGATAGAGAAGATGCTTTACAATGTCTTGAGATATACTGTAGGAAATGATGTTTCCGCTAGAACATGGCAATTGTTCAAATATTTTTTAAGGGTATTTACATTTAAAGTTAAAATAATAATTTTTTTTTTTATCTAGGAAAAAATCTCGGGTAATGGTGTTTATCAAAAGTAATTAAAAATAATAGGGATTTGATAATTTTTTCCCAATTGGATTACAATTAGTTTTTCCATCAATTATAAAAAATCCAAATTCTTTATTAATAAGTACGAGATTTAATAATAGCCAATTATTACAAAATTCAAATATATCTAATATGATCTTTAATGTAGCTGAATTAATTAGTTTCTTAAGTTAGGATATGATATTACAAGCTGGTTTTTTGATCTTAACAGGAAATCCTCAAGGTATATATATTGTTGTAATTAATATTAAAAAATAGATATTTGCTTTATTATCTTATTATATAGGCATTGGATTTACTAGAAAACATAGAATTTATTTTTAACATAATGATAAAATTGAAGTAGAAATTGATCAAATAGGAACTTTAACTAATATGATTAAATATGAATATCAAATAAATAATTTTAAATTATAATTATATAAATAGTATAATTAGTTTTTAAATATATTTCAAAAATAATTAAAATTCAATCAAGTAAAATTGTTTTCTTTATAGTTATTTTCATAATTTTTAGATTATTTTAGTCATATTAATCATATTTATTTATTCTGCACATATACATGCATATATACATATTTACATATTTATATATTTAGTCTGATGCAAAAGTCTTTAAACAAATATTTTTTAGTATAATTTCATAATGATTACACAAATCAAATGAAAAAAAATATTCATTTAAAAGCCAAAAAGCAGAAGATTTTATTAAAAAAAAAATTTAATAAGAAATATTTTTCCTATCTTTCTCAATTAAATTTATATCTTTCTTAATCAAAACTATTGGAATGTCAATTCATAATAGTCAAGATTATTTTAGTAGATATTTTTTAGTTACACAGTATATTGTATTTGTATAATCTTATTGTTAGTCTTTATTCTTCATTATATTAAAAAAATTTTTCTTTGAAAAAGTTAACATTAGTTGATTATTCAAATGCTAGATTTTAAATATTTAATGTTTAACCCAATTTTGATTAAATTGTATAACTTTTAATTTTGTTTAAAAACTTTTACACTGGACTATATATATAATAATTAAATATTTATTCTATATTTGCTAAAAAATTATTGAAAAGTTTTTAGGTTATCTTTAAGAATAACAAATAGTTACTATTTAAAAACTATTGAAATATTAGCATCTTTGATTTTTTCACAATTATTTGAAATATTAAGATTTTATAAATTTAAATACAAGTTTATTATGCAACTTATAGATTTAATAGTAATCTATCATGTTTCAACAAAATGCAATTCTTGATAACTTTTCATGATTCTAAATAATGATTTATTAGTAATTTTTTTATAATAAAAAATATTGATATACAGTGGTTTTTAAAAAAAATGTATCACCTAATATTTTAGTTTTAAAACCTTATTACTCATCAACCATGAATATTATAAATATGATTATGTATTTATTTTAATCCTCAAAACCTAGAAAAAATTTAATAAAAATTTGAATTATTCAGTAGATCAGTGAAAAATTGATCTATAAAATCGCTATATAATATATAAAAAATAGTCTAATCGCATTTTTATATTTTATGCAAATAATCTTATAAAGCTGATCTACTAATCTGATATAACAAATTTTAGTTTGTTAGAATCATGATTTGAATCATTTATAGATAAAAATTATTCATCCGTTAGATAAAAAATGATATAGATAATTATTATATATCTGCAAAAGACCAAATAAATGATCTGCAGATTATATGCCAAATATTTGCAAATAATCAGCAGATTACATAGATAATAAAATATTTGCAAATATTCACATATCTATGAATTTCTCTTATTTTCTTTAAAAAAAATTGACATTTCTTATACTATTACGCATTTATAATAAAATCAAATATTTTATTTTCTAATTTATAATTCTTATAACAACAGTATCATCAGTTATTCAAAAATTACATATTAAAATTTTTCAGAAGAGGATATATACTTTTTAATAAATGAATATTTCTTTAAAAATATAAGCCTATTAAATAATTCAGGATTTAAATATGTTCTTTTAGCTATCAATAGATTACTGACATCACTAAATACTTCTTACTTGGGGTTGAAGTAGCTGAAATTGGAAGATAAATTCTAGCCAACTTTGAAAGAATTGGAAATTGTTTCTTGTGATCATATCACCAAATAAAAGGATCCAAATCAAAACCTAATTTAGGTAAAGATAGATAAATGGTTGTTTTATTTTCTTATATGAGATTTTATCTAAAGATTGAAAATAGAGAAGAATCATTAAGTGGTGAAATAATAGGTATGTTGATAAAGATTCAGCTTTAAACTGATTGTATTTGTTTATTAATAAATCTTTTGTTTATTATGAATTTCTTCATCAACAAATTCAAGAAACTTAGTCCTAGGATCAAGTATTGCTAAAATAAGAATCCCTTCTTCTTCTTTGTTCTAATATAATTCTATTGTATTATACAGATCAAGCTTTACCTTTTCTAACATTTCAATAGTTCTAAATAGCTAATTTAAGTTTAGCTTTTTCCTAATATATTTTTTTTAGCTTGTTCTTGTTCTTTTTTTTTTTCAAAACATTAATAGTTTTCTTCATCCTAATTACATTTTGAGGTATTTCTTTTGGTTTTACATATTTTTTAATTTCATTTAATAATAGACTCATAATGTGATAAGTTACATATTTGCTAACATCTAAGTAGGTTATAATTTCAGCAAATCCTTTCAAACTTTACATAAATTTTCTAATAACTTCTATTCATCTTTCGTTAATATGATTTCAGATAGCCATTGACTATCTCTTTTTGAATCAATTTTATTAGCAATTGGTAACATAGTTACTAAGATATCAATGTATAGATTTATTTCTAGCAGTCTCTTTTAAGCCAAAAACTTGAATTCTAATGTATTTGAATATTTGCAATGCAATGACATAGATATGTACTTGTTTTTCTAGAACTCTAAAAGAATTTAGATCAATATACTTTAATTAATTAAAAAAAATATGATTTTTTTGAAACATGTCATACGATTTTTAATATTTATTTGAATATTTACTAGCCTTCAGATTGTTTTAGTCTTATAAAAAAGTCATTTAACTGTTTAGCTCTTAATACAAGTAATTTATGCATGCAAGTACTTTTCCTACAATAAGTTATAAAGTATAAGCATTACAGGATTACCAAGTAATATTATAAGAAATTTCGCTCATATCTTTAATTGCTCTTTTTATATTAGCACTATTATTTGTGGTAATCACATTAACCTTTTCTCTTAACATCTATAGATCTAATAATTTAAGTAAAGTATCACTGATGTGATCAGCAGTATGTGAGTCTCAAACGTAGATAACTGTAAGAATAAGCTTGTGTAGCTGAAAATTCTTATCTAAAAGGCAACATGTAATTCCAATGTAGCCTTGTCAATTCTGAGCAGTCCAAAGTTCTATAGTTAAATTGACTGATATTGCATGATTTTTAATACATTGAACAATTAGAAGATACGTATAGTTATATGTATGATGAATAATTTGTTTTACCAATTTTACATCAAGTATAATAAACCCTGAATCTAAATCATATAGAAATTTCCAAAACATATCACTTTGAATAGTTTTAAGTGGTATTGAATCAGCAATAAACCAATCAACAAGTGATTGAAAAAGATGCTTTTGCTTAGCTTCTTTATGTAGTCTTACTTTGTTGGTAAGGGTAGTTTTAATCTATTTTTAAAAGAATATTAATTAATATTATTTTTAAACTATTATAATAGCAAAAAAGATATTAAACATATTAATATTCCTTTTACATCTGTATTTTCAGTAATTTGATGTAATCTAACAAGATGAGCAATGAGATTAATTTTTGAGTTTTCACTTAAATAGATTTTTCACAAAGTTATTCATCTGTTTTTTTTAACTAAACATTCAGTACTAACATTTTTATTATTAAGCAGCACAGGATCCTACCATTTTTACATCCAGCTTTTATATTTATACGTTATTTTAAGTGTTTTTACTTTTTTTGAAATGTGTTCTGATCATTGTTTTTTTGAACATTTATTAGATAATGGAGCAGTTTAATTAAATCCTTCTTCTTTCTTATTATGATCATTCAAAGACATAAGTAGGACAATCTCTTCAGTTATCATTAATTTTAAAAGAAAAGTGTGTGAAAAAAATTTGTGTGAATATAATTTTACAAATAACATAATCATATGATCTATGATATAATATTTATACATCTGATTTAGGTTTTAGATTGGTAAGGTATATTTCAAAATGGATTAGAAATTGTAAAATAATAATCATATTTGATATTATTAGGATGATTTATGCTGTTATAGGATGATTATAATAAGAAAATGTGGTATAGCAAATGATCAACATATTTCACAAAATTGATCTACTAGAAGATTTATAAAAACAATCTACAGAATTGAAATACTAAATAATCTGCAAATGAATTACATGTAACATTAGAAATGTTAACCAAATATTACATAACTTATATATTTAATATATTTGACATAACTAATATAACTAATATTTCTGATATATCTAACATATATGATATATCTGACATAATCAACAAATAGGATATACTGTATTAGATAGGTCAGACATAACAAATATAATATTTGATTTATTAAACATGTATAATATATTAGTTTTATCTTTCTACACTAGTTGAATGATAATAAATAGGGGACCAATCGGGTCAAATCTGGGTTGCCATATTTGACCTGATTGGTCTTCTATTTTTTTGTTTTTTTAGAATTAGGTGATCCTGATTAATGATAAATAATGATGCAGATAGGATATAATAAGGTTCTAATCAGTGTGTTATAAAGATATCAATAGGGTTATTCTTATTGATATCAACTTATTAATATAAAGTTTTCAATTGGGTTATCTCTAAGTCATCAATAAAGATATTCTTATTATTACCTATTATACAAATAATATATCATGATTGGTAACATTTTATCAAATTTTTATAATACAGTATTACCTAACTAATGATTAGGCGAACTGAAACACATAATCAATTGAGTAGCAGCAAGATTTAGCTCAATCTTTGTTAAGTTTTGGGAGAGACTTTGGTTGATTCGGGCTATTGTTGACTTCGGTATTCTTTTACAGTTAAGTTTCAGAATTGGCAAGTATGACGACTTCTAATCCTCCACGTAAGACAAGTAATTTTCTTTGTCGTAGGAAATTCTCAGTTGACATTACAAAGTTTATTTATAACCAAGTAAATAGCGTTTAAGTAATTTAAAGATTACTCAAACCTAGATGACACTAAGCAGGGTTGATGACGTTAAACAATTTTCAATTACTTAACCAAGGTTTTCATAAAGCAAGTTGATAACGTTAAGTAATCTAATATTACTTAACCAAGGTTGGAACAAAGCAGGTTTGACACAAAGCAATAATGTTAAGTAATCCAATATTACTTAACCAAAGTTGACACTAGTGTTCCGCAAAAAATATGATTCAATCTGAATCTGATCCAAATTTAACAGATCGGATCAAATCAGATTTATCAGATTCGAATCAGATTCAGATTCAGATTTGAATTTGATTCGATCCATCAGATCCAGATCAGATTTGGATTTGGATTCAAATTCAATCCATCAGATTCAGATTTGGATTCAAATCTGATTTGTTAGATTTGAAATAAAAAATGCCGCCCCGAAAGTCAAACACAGCATTTATTATTAAAAAAATTAAATTTTAATAATAAAATGCTGTTCCGAAAGTCAGACACAGCATTTATTAATAAAAAATTAATTTTTATTAATTTTTTATATAAAAATGCTGCCCTAAAAGTCAGACGCGGCATTTACTATTAAATAAATTAATGTTTAATAATAAAATTCTGCCCCAAAAGTCGGATGCGGCATTTATTAATAAAAAATCAATTTTTATTAATTTTTTGTATTAAAATGCCACCCCGAAAATTGGACACAGCATTTATTATTAAAAAAATTAAATTTTAATAATAAAATGCCATTCCGAAAGTCAAACGCAGCATTTATTATAAATAAATTAATGTTTTATATTAAAATGCCGCCCCGAAAGTCAGACACAGCATTTATTAATAAAAAAATTGATTTTTATAATTTTTATATAAAAATGCCGTCCCAAAAGTCAGACGCGACATTTATTATAAATAAATTAATGTTTTATATTAAAATGCCGCCCTGAAAGTCAGACGCAGCATTTATTAAAAAAAAATAATAAAAAATAATTTTTTATATTAAAGTGCCGCCCTGAAAGTCGGACACAGCATTTATTATTAAAAAATTAAATTTTAATAATAAAATGCCACCCCGAATGTCAGACGCAATATATATTATTAAATAAATTAATGTTTAATAATAAAATTCTGCCCTGAAAGTCAGATGCGGTATTTATTAATAAATAAATTAATTTTTATTAATTTTTTATATTAAAATGCCACCCCGAAAGTTGGACGTAACATTTATTATAAATAAATTAATGTTTTATATTAAAATGCCACCCTGAAAGTCAGACGTGGCATTTATTAATAAAAAAATCAATTTTTATTAATTTTTTATATTAAAATGCTGCCCTGAAAGTCAGACGTGGTATTTATTAATAAAAAATTAATTTTTATTAATTTTTTATATTAAAATGCCGCTCTGAAAGTCAGACACAGTATTTATTATTAAAAAATTAAATTTTAATAATAAAATGCTGCCCCAAAAGTCAGACGCATAATTTATTAATAAAAAATTAATTTTTATTAATTTTTTATATAAAAATGCTACTTCGAAAGTCAGATGCGGCATTTATTATTAAAAAATTAATTTTTAATAATAAAATGCTGATCTGAACGTTGGAAGCGGATTTTTGTTAAAAAAATAAAATTGTTGTTTTTTTTAACATTAAAATATCGTTCTGAATGTCAGAGGCGGATTTTTGTTAAAAAAATTTTTTGATCCATCAGATATGGATACGGATTCAGATTCAGATTTGTCAGATTCAGATCGAATTGAATTCGGATTTGTCAGATTTGGATCGAATCAGATTTAGCCTAAATCTGATCAGATCCGATTCGTGTGAAATACTAGTTGACACAAGTATTGATACAAAGCAGTTTGTTTGTTACGAGACAATTTAGCAAAGAGTTTTTATTATCATAAAATTAACTTTTTAAATTTCTATCGATACATGATGAAAACTCAGCTTATTTATAATGAAATTTCTACACTAATTGCTATCTATTGCATAAAAACTATGTAAAGTATTTCCTCATCTTTTCTATGTAATATCATTGTAATAATTGAGTAATGACTACCTTATTGCTATGCAATAGTCCTTTAACTATAATATATATATATTTGAAGAGATGTAGAAAATATAATTATATTGTTCTTAAACTATTACTACATTCTTATACTTAGCCTTTGACTAGTTTCTCCTTGAAGTTCCTATTTGGAGTTTCTAGTTTAGAAGGTTATGTGTGTCATCATAGGCTAATGATCTATTACTTCATTTCTTTATTAACTGATTTGGTTAATTTCACAGATCACCTTTGCCGATTATTGTATCATTAATTTTTGCAAATCAATTCACATAATGATCAATTTGTAGATCACTTTACTGCATCATATTTCTAATTTTTGAAGATCATT